TTAGATCTAGAACCCATGTGCATGATCTTTGTAAAGTCCTGTTCCAGCAGTAGATTTCAAATAAGTTGATTTTCTTCCTCTCACCTTTCTTCATTGTCCAGCTTTCACATCCACACACAATAACTGGAAAATCCATAGTATGGAAGATTTGGGCCTTGGCCTCTAGAACTTTTTTCTAGTTCTTTCATAGCTGTAATCTTGTTCTGTTGTAATCCTACAGGAGCTGTTTCAAGTCATCAATGTGATCTGCGAATAATATGGTGTCATCTGACTATCCTAAAGTACTGATACTTATTCTACAATTTTCTCTTCTGCTTTGTCTGAAACAAATCCAGCTTTCCCTACAATGTTGTCTGCATGTGGATTGAAGAGAAAGAGAGATAAAATGTGTTTATCAGAAAATTCTGCTAGTTGGATATACTAACAGTAGCTGGTAGTCCAGAGTATAAATTATGAATGAGGATAATGGAATATGGCACACACATTTACTTAGAATAATAAATAGCATTTTCATAGACATTTCAAAGTTTTGTTATCATCATTAAAATACAAGCTGATTTTTTTACCATGTTTTTTTTTTTTTGGTACACTGAAGTAGTCAACCAATACTGGCAACGTGGTGGTAGTGCCTCTCCATTTTCTGAAACTATCTTGAACATCTGGCATGTCTTACTTTCTGGCCGAAATCCTGTTGTTTAGTGTAGTAAGTTGCACTAGAGTTGGACCCTCAAATCAGTGGGGATTTGGCAAGTCAACTCTTCTGTAAATTCTATTGAGTCAAATGGGGTACTCCAGTTAAGACTTACTATACTAAATGAACAGAATTACAGCCTCTGTATAGCAAAATTCTTTGTTGCAAAATCTTGAACATCACTTGGATGCATAGGAAATTAATGCAGTGGTCCTATAGGCACTGCAATCTTTGACATCTCCTTTCTTTGAGACTGGAATGCCTATTGAACCTTCCAGTCCATTTGTTTTTCATATTTATAGCCACTTGTTAAGATTTTGACAGATGCAGTCTCTGTGGCTTGAAAACACTCTCATAGTATCCCATCTGTCCTTGGTCATTTATTTTTTCCAACTGCTTTTAGAGCATCCTGAACTTCCTGTTCTCAAATTGCAAGTTCTTCATCAAAGGATGATTCTCTGAAGGAATCTGTAATCTTTGCTTGCCTTCTCTACAGTTCTTCATTGTACTGTTTCCAACTTCTCTTTATTGATCCTGATCAGATAATATACTCAGATCTTTGAGCATCTTGGTTGAAACGTCCCTTTGATTTCTTGGAGAGTATGGGAAAGATATGTTTTTTTCTTCCTTGTTATCCTCTTCTGTTTCTTTTTAAAGACTATTACAGAAGTTCATTTTTGCCTTTACCTTCAAGTTACTGAAAATGCTTTTGCAAAACACACACACACACACACACACACACACACACACACACACACACGGGAATGCACCAAGGATTCCTTGCTTTTAAGGAGACATTTAAAAAAGCTATTTCAGTGCTCTTGAAGTAGACACATTTTATAAAACGTAATTCACGACACAAGCAAAATGATAAAAAAATTCCCTGTTCTGTTTTGAGATTATGCTGAAGATAGCACAGTTATTGTAAGCGTATGGTAATTTCACTTTCCTGTTCAGTTGTTTAGAGATAAACAGGAGCCCTTAGATCTCAATCAATAAATTACACCTCTCCCTTCAATTGACACTAGGGTTAGGCGCAACAGACCCTTGTGCAGTTCAAAATTTGTATATAACTCTTACGTCCCCCCATAAAAACTTAATACAAAGCATAAACACTTCACTCACACACAGGGGGGAGAGGGAGGGAGAGAACCACCTGTGTCAGCCTCCTGCCATGCCCCAGCATCCTCTTTGGCTACCAAGTGAAGCTGCCATGCCAGGAGAGGGGACTGGCTGGGCTGCCATCTTTGGATCGGGGGCCAGTGCACCAACAACAGGGGCCTCAATAGGTCTGAGACCCACCTTTCTCAGGCCGCTCCTTGGAGATGAATAGCATCACAGTATTTATTGAATATTTATTTATTTATTTATTTATTGACTGACCGCTCGATTGATCAATTGATTGACTGATTTATTGATTGACTAACTAATTGAAAAAAAAATATGTGTATAACCAAAATTACGCTGCTTGAACCTGTGCAATTCAAGGGGAGAAGTCCAGATGTATTTTTGAACAAGAAGAAAAAAGGAAGAGGGTGTAACAGAATGGAACACCATAGGACAACTGATCCTCATAATGTTGAGGAGAACATAGGGTGTGAAATGGTTCAGGGCTGCTAGAAAAAAAATGCATGGATATTTGAAACAGCTGCTGGGGCCGACGACAAGCCATGAGCAGAGATAGAGTAGAAACTACATATTCTGAAAATTAATTAGTGGGTTGTATTTCAGGTTCCAGGTAAGATAACAGCAGCTACTGCTTGTTTGTAAATTTCATATAAAAATGTGTACTTATTCATTATTAACAAGTTGTAAACTGAATACATTCTATACTCAAAACGCTGCAAAGTAAATACCACCCTACTCAGCTCAATGTTTTCATTTACATATCATCAGAATGTTGTAACATAAATCAGAAATCACAAGGCAACAGCATATTCCCCGAGTATATTTTCTAAAAAGCTGCTGTAATGAGAGGGTGGAGGGAAAAACTGGGGACCTAAAGAGTTGTGTAAATATTTTAAGTCTGATGTTTCCTGGGATGCAAATAGGTAAGCCTTGTATTTCATATAAGACAGCCTTTATTGGAAAGATTTTTGATCTGCTTTTCCTCCAGCTGGCCTCCAAGACAGCATTATAGAATTAGTAGTTTTAATTTCTATGTACACAGTCACCGCAGTTCAGATGTCACATTCTCAATACAATAAACCATGATTTATTGATGAAGGATATCCTGTGTTCATGTATTTCCTCTTCCTCCCATATATCTAGATTGGTGTGGCTTTTTGGTTTGTTGAATTTCAGTCTGCTGTCACATCCAAACTGGAAATCAATGGTTTGAGCAATCTTGACGAATCAGGATTGCAAGAAAGATGGAACCATCATTTGCAATCCTGGTATGCAGGGAACACAAAAATCACTTTCCTAGTTCAAAGTTCACAGAAATCTATGGCTTAACAAGCAGAAAGTTTCGTATTATTGCTGGACATGCAAGAGGAATGTGTATGGTTGGGGTTTTTAAGGTTTTTTCCCCTAAGAATCCCCCATGTAAACAACCTGCATTTGTCAAATGAAGAACTGTATCAAGTAAAAAAAAAACTTTGCAGAGGCTTTTGGTCATTACACACATTTCTTTCTTTAAATGCTTTCCTGAAAACATAACCAGGACAGGGCAGAGACTACTTTAGGTTTTTTTCAGGAGAACCCCCTTTCCAATCTCTAACAGTTAAACTCACAGTGAGGCTATTTATTTTATTTATTTATGTATTTAATTTATACCCCGCCTATCTGGCCCACCAGACCACTCTAGGCGGCTTCCAAATATAAAATCAAATAATAAAACACAGACAAATACATAATAATCAAACAAGAACAGCAGTAAAAATAAAAAGGAAAAGTAAGAAAAAATCAAGAGTTGGCTGGAGGGAAGGCCTGAATAAACAGCCATGTTTTTAATTGGGTTTTAAAGGTGCCCAGCGTGGGGGCCGTGCGAATCGCTGGAGGGAGATTGTTCCAGAGGCGAGGAGCCACCACCGAGAAGGCCCGGTTTTGTGTCTTCTCCTTCCAGGCCTCTCTCGGCGTCAGGCTCCTCAGCCTCACCTCCTGACTCGCACGGGTGATCCGGGCAGACCTTGGTAGGAGTCAACGATATTTCTGTACAGAGGTGCAGAGTGTGGTGTTCCACACAAGGGCATTCAGTTGATAGTCTTCACTATTTATGTCCAGCATCATCAGTGTTCTGGTGGGTAGGTCCTATCAGACACTTGTTAGGTGCAAAGTTGGACCCAAGACTCCACAAACTAAGAATAATCTTAGAATAATAATCCCAGAACTGCAGAGCTGGAATGGACCCAATGGATCATCAAGTCCAGCCCCTGTCAAGGAGACAGAGAGGAGAATCAAACTCTCAACCTCTGGCTCTATAGCCAGATAAGCAAACCACTGAACTAATCTGCAGTTTTCAATTGTTCAATGATCAACTTGCCTTTCAAACAAAGAGAGGTACCATGCAATACAAAATCATTCCTTCTAGACAGATAAGCAAACCACTGAACTAATCTGCACTTCAATTGTTCAATGATGAACTGGCCTTTCAAACAAAGAGAGGTATTATGCAATACAAAATCATTCCTTCTAGGCAAATCCAATAGTTTTAACAAGTCAGCGCATCAAGGAATGATGTAGACCTCTTCTTCCCCTGCTTCTCTCATGTTGTATAAGCCCTCCTAGTCCTGTCCTCCTTTATAACACCTTGTTTATCCAGTACGGCACCTGGCCTCAGGCCTGTCCTAGACATCAAAGTTCACCTCTTTGTCTGATCTGGTATTTCACCTCCAACCCATTTAAACTATATGTTCAGCTGCAGACAATTGTGACCATTCCTTCTCCATGTTGCATTTAAATTCCATGGCACCTTATTTATAATGTAGGCCTCAGTCTGGACAATTCATGGGACCCCAGAAAGTAGGTAGGATGAGATGATATAAGAACTGACTAGGAACATGTTCGTGTCACAGAGGAATTAGAAGATCAAAAGCCAAAGTAAGATGCAATCATAAACATTAGGGAAATTTGTACCTCATTCCAAGCACAAAGATGAGATGATATAAGAACTGACTAGGAACAATGTGTTCGTGTCACAGAGAAATCAGAAGATCAAAAGGCAAAGTAAGATGCAACCATAAACATTAGGGAAATCTGTACCTCACTCCAAGCACAAAAGCTGTGTATTACATAATTCTGTATGAAACTGATTTATAGAGTCTCTTTGAACATTGGTGTAGCATTCAGTACTATTTGTATTACATACCCTTATAATTCCTGCACTGGGCATGGAGCACACGGTTTCCTGGCCCACATATTCCATTATAAGGTAAGCAGTTGCCTTCTGAAACAATCCAGTTGTAACACTCTGGATTTTCACATGGAATAGATTCTATCAAGTGTGGGCAGTTGTCAGACATATCCATGGGTTCAGGAATAATATGCCTGTGTCTCATTTTGAAACCTAAGAAGGAGAAAATAAGATTATTAAGTTTAAAGCAAAGATAGAGAGAGAGCACGCTGGCTGGACAGCTCAGTGAGTTAGGTATCTGATTGTGGAACCAGAGGTTGGGAGTTCAGTTCCCACTGTGCACTGTAGAAGAGCCAACCTGTGTGGCCTTGGGCAAGCTGCACAGTCCCAGGATGTTCTCAGAAGAAGAGAATAGTAAATAAACTACTTCTGAATATGCTTTACCTAGAAAATGCTAAAAAAAGTTCACTATAAGTCATAACTGACTTGATGGTGTGTGATTATTATATATTTTAAAATTACAATATACCAGAAGGATGACCAAATAGGATATTTACAGCTACAATAAATAATTTAACATCTGCAATATGTTTGCCTACAGCTAGGGAATTCTGGAATTTTTTTAACTGTCCTATCTTGTAACATCCAAATGTTTTTGGGTTGTTGTTGTTTTTAAGTTTTTTTAGTTAGAACCTTGTGACATCACAGGAATCTATACATCTGGAGAACTGTAGATCCAGATGGTGAAATGTAAGAGGGAGGGTATGGTTTTTTTCAGGAGAACCCCCTTTCCATGGAATAAGGGTTAGCATCTGAATGTTGGTAATTGGCTTATGGTTTCAAATTTGGTTTGATAAGACAGTTTGCTGGAAATTGCTGTGTATGAAGCAAAGATTTCAAAGGCAAGCTGATGAGAGGTATACAAACTAATAGCCTGTTAAGGGAACGGAAAACTATTGTTTAATGTTACATCTGAACCACATATAGTCAGCCATATGGACACTGCATATAGGAGCACACCAATCTCCAGGGTTCTTTCCCATTTGCTTTTGAGCTACAAGCTGCACAGTCAACTTGTATGCCAAAAGAGTCTTGACATACATTAAAGTTCAGTGCAAACCATCCAAGGTTAACAATCTCAGTTTAGACTTACTACCAGCAAACCCTTAGATCAGGAGTGGATGACTATGTCTCTCCAGATATTTCTGGGTTCCAAACTCTTCCAGCCTAAACCAGCATAGACAATGGTGAGGGATTATAGGAGTTCTATCCCAAAAACGTGGAGGCCCACAGCTGTTCATGCTTGAATTAGACAAACTAATGAGACCAATCAGTTTAAATTATTTGAAGCTGACATATTTAGTGGAACCTGAAGAATTATAACACTTATCCTGCAGCAGATCACTGAACAAAAATAAAAATATTTAACCTGGTATATAGAGGAACGGGTATCTGATATACTGTACTGCATTCTTCTCATTTAGATTTCTTCTAACAGAACACCTGATCAAATCCAGATTCGGATTTATCATTTTAAAGAAAAAGTCTGAAAGAAATACCATAACTGACTATAAAACCTAAAGCACAGAAGGGACATTTTTTATCCATTTGACTTAGCTGGTATGATAATGGGCTAGCTGAAAGCACAGTGAGCTCCCCATCCAGAAAAGCAACAACCCTGTTAGATAGTTTAGAAAGTACCTTTTCTCCCTTGAATTTCTTGGCAGTTTTCAAGAACGCAAGGGCCCCATGATGACCATGAAGAGACTAAGCACTCAGAAGGACACGGAATACTGCACAGTTGAGATGCTGGGGGAGGAGAAGCAAGGCAATGCTTTCTTTCAGCAGGTCTAGTCACTTAAAAGAGAAAGAAAACACACTCACACAGAGAATGCACAGATCCGATCTTCAAGCAGTGGACAGATCTGGAAAACACTACAGATGCATTTTCCCAGCAAGTATACAAGTAACATAAAGGACAAGTTAATAGCAGTCTAACGCCACAGTGAATAATGTCCATGATTAGCACTGGATTTTAGAATTATATCATTAATAGGGTTTATTTCTTGGGTCTTTCCATTTGTTTAAAATTATTTCCATGCCCCTAATTTACTATAATTTTAATAGTTTCAAAAGTTGCTATTTTAACTATGGTAGCACCAATGACATTAACAATTTGCTTTTAACAATTCATGTTTCACATTATTTTAATTTATCCTGTTGAGATGAGAGTAGGTGGGGGGGAATTCAAAAGTAACACATTGCTGATCAGTAACTAACAGTTAATATTATTAATTAATTTAAGAATATTCACTAAAAGTATTAACAGTAGCGAACAGTCTTTGAATTCATTTTAATAAAAAATTGTATCTCCAAATTCCAGTTCCTAAGATTTTTTTCCCCCCCAGGGAACACTGCACAATGCACACTGGAAATCCACTATTTCATTACAGGAAGACCTCTCTCCAGGTGTAATCTATAAATCCGTCCAGCAAAGCTTTACTTTTCAAGACCTCTGTGATGTCTGTTCCGCCAGATATACCATATTCCATGACCCAAAGGTCTTCAACTATGGGTTGTTGTTTTTTTGCTACTTTGTATGCTTATAAATGCTCTCCTTGAACACCTATGTGATACCACCTCTCTTAGATTCTTCATATCATTTTTCAGACCTCATCTTTGCCCATACCTTTTTGCATGTTAGCCTGTAACCAAACTTAAGAACACATAACTCATAAGCTCATTCCTCCAGGTGTATATCCACTTCCCTGCACTGAAAGTATCACTTTAATGAATGGATTACAAATTGTTGGTTGCAATTTATCCTCATTAGTCCAAGCATTTTTTTAAAAAACAGGTATTTGTAATACAACTACATTGTTAAGTGCTGCTGCTGCCTCTGCTATCAGAAGAGCCATGATGATGCTATCCATCCTCCAGGAGGAGGAGGAGGAGGAGGAGGAGGAGGAGAAAGACAAGGGGAAAGAGAAGGAGAAGAAGCTGTTCTGTGAGTAGGAGAAGAGGGCCACAAATGAACTTGGGCCGCCCATAAATCCTATGCCTTGACATTTCACTACAACACACTGGTTTATCAGCAAGCTGCAATCTGAGATGGGGACCAAAAAAGGAAAGCTTTTGCCATCAGCTGGTATAATCAAGACCACACACATGCACATACACATATCTGGAAGAGAAAATTAAATAGCCTTTGAAATACTTTGGGAGGGTGGAAGACTATTTGGCCTAAATCCAGCAGTTCCTCCCATTGAATCAACTGCTGAATGGTAAATCAACATTGATGCATACACCATTGATTTAAGAGGTTTACTCTAAGTTGGCGGGATTCACTTTTTGCCCTTTAACACACTACTCACTTCATGTTAGGTTATAAACAAGATCTGTAATGGTTTGATTCTAGTTGTTCACATGAGGCAAGGTGAAATATAGAAATATTAAGGATCAACAGGAATTCTTGTTTGTGTTTAACTTAGTGGGCAAACATCATAAATATTTTGTTGCTCCAACACTTGTCAGATATGACTCTGGAATGAAATGGTAATTATGGAAATTTAATTCAAAGCTAATGGAAAGTTCTGCTTAAATGGCAAAGGTACTTTCAGAATTATTTTTTTCCCGAGAAACAACATTGCCTTTGACATATTCATTTAGGGACCACACCAAGTTGGCAGAAATTCAATCCACTTTACTCCCAAAGTAAATAGTCCCTTTCTCCAGGTCCTAAAAGTCAAATGGCAGAAAGTGCAAGATAAATAAATATTAGCCTTTTTAACCATCAAGCCATTCCCTTCCAAAGAACCTCATGAATTTCTTAATATGCCCTTCAGCATTAGGCTTTGCAAAATTGTTTATCATTCCGGTAATTCAGTGGCAAACAGGAAAGCTTACTGCATTTTGTTACCAAAAAAAATTGATTCAGTTTCAACAGCAAGAAAGCAATATTGGGCCATGTTACTGTAGCCATGTTGCTTGTTTGGACGTAACTTGGCAATTTCTTTTGGCAATCATCCATTTGTCTTCAAGCTTACCTGTGATATAAACATAATCCTGCACATTAATTCTTGGCATTAGAAAAATTGTGACATGTTTTTCAGAAATGGAAGTTTTAGAAACATCACAAACAAATGACATGCAGCAGATTCCAGTTGCTATCATTGTAGGTAAATATCCTTCGTGCAGGAAAAATAAAAACCACACAATTATACTGGTTGCTGGCCTGGGGTCGTCTGAAGAATGGGAAGGTGCAAAAGTATGATTATTAATCTTATACATTTGCTGAGAGACATAACCCCTAAACATTTACTAAGAAATGTAAACATCAAAATATAAGATCTTAGGATGAGAACAAGATTACATGTGCACACGTTCTAGCACTGAACACTACAGCAGTGATTCTCAGTAATGAGGTCCAAGATGCTCTTGGACTTAGCGTCTCAGAAGTCCCAGTCAGCATGGCCAATGATTAGAGTTTCTGGAAGCTGAAGTCCAAAGTGTTTTGAAGGGCAATGTTTGAGAGCCAAAGAACAGTACAGGATTCTTTCTCTCGACTACTACCACCACCAAAAACATTACAGCTGGAGCTGTCTCCGTTTGATTACTAGAAATAAAGGTTATGCAGTAATTCTTAAGAACTGCAGGAATTTTGAAATGCTCACAGTTTTCTGGAAAATAATGGAGCGAATGTAAAGGACAAGCTTTGGGCCTGATTTAGAAACAAAGAGACGATCTTAAGATGAACCAAAGTAATGGGTTTTATTGTCAGGACTCTGTCTCAGGGAAGTTATTCAAGTTGCTACATTAGCTTAAAACATGGAGGAAAAGGCTGTAAGAGGAGAAGGCAGCACATGAAGGAGGAAAAAGCTGTGTTCCTAAGAATATCAGACTACGTCACTGAGAAATAAAACAGAAAAAGAAAGGGAAAACGAAACAGCAAGGTTAGCCTAGTAATTTGCCCCCTTAATGCACACAGAAACCAGGCTGGGATATGTTTGTATACTGGAAGAGAATTTTCACTTGATTAACACCCCACCCCCACCCCCGGCTATTCATGCAATGGGAATTACATCACTATATAATGTGGCTCAACATGTATATGACAAAGGGCAGGATTTGGGGGGGGGGGCGATTGTGTGGTTTGTTTTGTTTTGCTTTGCTCCTCAAGTGGCATGCAACTGATTATAGTAATGAAACTTTGATTTCATTACTTAGTCTCCAATATTCCATTTTGGGGCAAGGTTTTGGAGTTTTTGGTGGCATCCCGGCTCCAGAGGTTCATGGTTGAAACAGATTATCTAAATCAATTTCAATTTGGCTTCAGCTCTGATTACAGAAAGACAGTTTTGGTTGCCTTGGTGGATATTTGCACCAGGAACTGGACAAGGGGAGTGTGTCCCTGTTGGTCCTGCTGGACCTTTCAGCCGTGTTCGATACCATCATGATATCATGATACCATGGTATCTTTTTGAGACGCCTGTCTGGAATGGGTCAGAATGCTGTCTTGCAGTGGTTCCAGTTCTCCCTGGATGGCCAAATTCTGAAGGTGATGATAGGGAACTTCTGTTCAATACCTGGCCATTGACTTGTGGTGCCCTTCAGGGTCCAGCCCTGTCCCCCATATTATTGAACATCTACATGAAAACACTGAGAGAGGCTGTTCAAAGTTTTGGAGTTTGGTGCCTTTTCAGTGGCTGCTCCCAGGCTTTGGAATTCACTGCACAAGGAGTCAAATTGCCCCCCTCCCTCTTGCCCTTCCCTCATCAGGTAAACATCTTCCTTTTCAGACTGGCTTTTAAGTTATAAATGTATAGGAAACACTCTGTTTTTGAAAATTAGCTATTTTAAAAGTTTTTCAAGATTGTTTTTAAAATTGTTTTTATTTTATGTTTAACTGATTTTTTAATATACAGTTTTATATAGTATTGTACCTTGTTATTATTGTATGATTTTATTTGTTGTGAGCTGCCTTGGGCCCCCTATGGAGAGAAAGGCAGCATATTAAATAAATAAATAAACTGATGGCCTAACTTTCCTTCAGCTCACCTAAATTAGAATTATTTCCAACCACAGACAAAACAACTGCCTTTGTTAAATATCTAGATTATTTTAGTAACTGACATTACAGTTCAATTATGTGAAACTTGGCAACTTTAGAACTTTCATATTCTATTAATCTATCAGAGATACCTGCATTCCAATGTTAGTGTGTGTGTTCTGTGCCATCAAGTCAGAACCAACTTACAGCAACCCCAATAGGGCTTTCAAGGTAAGTGAGATATTTGAGGTTTTACCAGTTCCATTCCTCCAGTGTGTTTCCAATACAGTATTAGTAACTGAAGCTAAAATCTGAAAATATTGTGACCAAAGAAAGGTAATAAATTTGAGATGATCAATTTCATGCTGTTTTCCTGTAGGTTTCCACTTGAGCAATCAGAGAAGGAGAAACCAACAGTATGCAAAGACCAGATATTACTTACATAAGTCACTGGCTTAGTAAATTATCTGAACTGTCACAAAGGGCCAGTAGCCTTTGACTACTTACTTCATCAAACTAACACTGGTGCACATAATACATTAAGCAGTTGAAGGTCATATGCCAATAACTGTATTCATTACTAGTAATCATTCTCTGAGAGCTACTTTTTGTTCTCCTAGAAAGTAAAGGCTGCATTGTTGTAGATCTTTAAATTTACATCCCCTTAAGACTTGAGGGGGAAATCTGCTATATGGGGAAAAATACACCAGGCTCAAGATACTTGCAACCAAAAAAAATTGAATGGATGTTAACAGAATGAGAACATCAAGATATATTGTCCTTCATGATGACTATTGAATCTGACTTT